TCCCATAACCATAACTATAAGGACAGCACAAACTGGACTTGGTGAGTTACTGAAGAACAAAATAAGACAGGCATGAAGTTGGGAGGTGGGGAGGGGGGGAATCTATGAAGAGCCAAGGGTGGTAAATATGTTTAAACTACATTGTACATATGAATGAAATTAAATAATTAACAAATACATTATATTTTTAAGTATCCTGTCTATGACTTAGTAATTTCATGTTTAAAACGTTTGCCAATAACATTCTGTAAGAGTAACATGGTAGCCTTTTAATAGCCATTCCCTTCGTCCAAAGTCTGAAATTTCTACGTCTGCTTTGTACAAAGATAATCATAGCAGCACCTTTGATAATAAAAAATTTCAATGACCAAAAGTATAACAAGAGAACAGTGGAAGAAATAAATTAAAATGTAAGCAGCAACTAACATAACTGAAGTAAGGGCTGAAGATATGACTCGGGGGTTACGAGCACATGTTGCTCTTACAGGGGACCTGGGTTCTGTCTGCAGAACCTACTGCTCTCGCAGCTATGTGTAAATCCAATCCCAGAGGATCCGACACCCTCTCCTGACCTCCTCAGGTACCAGGCACATACATGGTACATATTTACACATGTACACAAAACACCCGTATGCATAAAATTAAAACAACGAAAAGCTTACAAGGCGTGCAAGTTAACTTCAAAAAGAAAACACTGGAGTAAGCCTCTCCACAGCAGCCTCGGCTGGGTGATTGTGTTGAGCTTTGAAAGACAAGGTATGGGGCTGGGATGCAGCTCCGTGATGGCGCGCTTGCCTAGCAGGTGTCTGCACACTTTAGTTCAATCCCCAGGACTATAATGTTTTTATTAAGTATTTTTTATTGTTCAGATTATAATAATGACTTCCTTTCCTCCTTCCTGTTCTTCCATCCAACCCCTGCCATATAACCCTCTTTGCTCTTTGTCATGTGCATGGGCTCTTTTTTCCATAATTGTTGTTACATGCAGGTATGTATACATATATACATACATATTCCTAAACAGACAAATACAACCTGCTCAGTTTATACACTTACTTGTGTGTGTTTTCAGGGCTGACCGTATGGTATTGGATAGCCAATTGGTGTGCTCTTCCACACCAGTTGTGGTGCAGAGGAGGACTGTTTTTCCCAAGCTCAGCATTCTTTGACTGTCTGTAGCTCTTCCTGTAGGGCTGAGGCCTTAAGGGGTCCCGCATCCAACCCTGTCTATGTTAACATGTCTATTGTTCTTGCTAAGCTCACGTTTAGACAGTCATGCTGGTGAGACTTTATGGGTGTAGTTTCTGACATCACTAGAAGACAAAATCTCTCAGTAAGCTCCTTGAAGTTCGTTGTGTAGTATGGGGGCCCCATGAACTCTCGGTCATTGTCCTTGTCCTTGCCTTTGCAATAAACAGAGATCATTACAGTAAACCACCACCAACCAAAATGCAGAGCTGTGGAGTCTAGTCCAAAGGAACACATCTCCAAAGCAACTCCTACGCCTACCTAAGGCTCAAGGCATTGCAGAAGAGGGGACAGAAAGATTGTGGGGTTGTTTTTCTTATATTGATGAACCAAAAAAGACAGGCCATGAAAATAAATTCATTTTTAGTTTGAAAATAGTTGCAAGTACCTATAGATGAATAAATATGTACACTTGAAAAAGAACAGATATGTGTTCAGTGCCAGTGATGGGTTCCTTTGGAGATGGGACTAGGAAAAACAAAGAGGGTATATGATTTGGGAGGATTTTTTTTTTTTTTGAGACAGGGTTTCTCTGTGTAACAGTCCTGACTGTCCTGGAACTCGCTCTGGAGAAAAAGCTGGCCTCGAACTCACAGAGATCCACCTGCCTCTGCCTCCCAAGTGCTAGGATTAAAGGCATGCACCACCACCGGCTGGTGGAAGGATTTTTTTCTTTACAAACATAGGTGTAATTTTGTTTTATTTTGGTAACAGTACCAGGATTGTGTGTGACTTTTCTTTTCACTCTTGTGATGGCATTTTCTATTGTGTTAACGAGAGGACAGTGATCTTTAAAGGGGAAAAATAAAGGACTAGAGACAAAAATGTCTGCTTTTAAGAAGGAGAAAGAAGAGGTGCTGCAACAGAAACCAACACAGGAAAGTAGAGAGATGTACAGCAGGAAAAGGCAGGGCCCTGAAAGGTAGAGGGGAGCTCACAGAGGAGAGGTGTAAAAAACAGAGCTGGGGAAAGGCAAAGATAACCCTGGCCAGGCCAGGAAGCAGCTTATAGATAGCTATGGAAGAAAACAAAACAAAATAATGAACAAAATAGGACACTTGATGCTTTTTGTATGAGTAGAAAAATCACCCTAAACTTCTTGTAGTCGAAGTTTTCCAAGGGGCACTCAGACACCAGCATTTAGACACTTGCAATGGCTGGGTTTTTTTTTTTTTTTCTGTGTCAACTTGACACAAGCTAGAGTCATTTGAGAGGAAGGAGCTTCAGTTGAGGAAATGCCTCCATGAGATCCAGCTGTAAGGCATTTTCTCAATTAGTCATCAATGAGGGAGGGCCCAGTCCATGGTGTGTGGTGCCATCCCTGGACTGGTGATCCTGGATTCTATAAGAAAGAAAAAGCTGAACAAGCCAAGAGAAGCAAGCCTTGCAACCCCTCTATGGCCTCTGTATCAGCTCCTGCCTCTAGGGTCCTGCCCTGTTTGCATTCCTGTCCTGATTTCCTTCAGTGATGAACAGTAACAACGTGGAAGTCTAAGCCAAATAAACCCTTTCCTTCCCAACTTGCTTTTTGGTCATGGCATTTTCTTACTACAACAGAAACCCTAACTAAGCTGGGCATTGGTGGTGCATGGCTTTAATCCCAGCACTCGGCTGGGGGGGGGTGTGCAGAGGCAGGAGGATCTCTGTGAGTTTGAGGCCAGCCAGGTCTACAGAGAGAGTTCCAGGATAGGCTCAAAGTTACACAGAAAAGCTCTGTCTTGAAAAAACAAAAAGAAAAAGAAACCCTAAGACAACACTCCTTAGGTGTTGCTGGTCTGCAGTCAACGATAAGAATCACCAAGTCAAAGGAAGGAAAGTCAAGAAAACTGAGGACTCTGTATTGCTTTCCTAGGTTTGAAAGCGAAGAAAGGGGTGACTTGGGCTATAAGCTCATCCAAAGTGTAGCTCATGGCCTTCTGACAAGGTTTCACCATGTCTGTCTCTGGCAGCTGCTCCATGGCTTCTCCCTAACAAACAAATAGCAATATCCAAACCATTTCTAGTTCCTGTGTTCTTGCCATACCTTGAACTGTGGAACAAAGTCTTGGAGGCAGTGAGCAAATATAGAGTCCAAGACACAGCTGGCCATATCAGCTAGACAAAAAGGGAGCTTTCATACATTGGAGGCAGATATAGATCTAAGCAGAAGAGAACACAAGAAAATGGTGAATTGTGTCACTTTGTGGAGAAGGAGGGAGTCACAGTACAGCTGCAGAGGAGAGAGGAAAGCCAGGCTTACACATGACTTCCTTCATCCTCTCAGTAACACATGAGAGAGTATCAGGAAATTCCCTGACCGAATGCCGGTGGCTTGGGGACAGTGTAGAAGCTGCACAGCAAAAGAGAGAGCCCTGACCTTGTCTCCAGATAATATGTGGCTTAGTCATTTAACCTGTGCTGTAGAAACCTACCTCTGCTGTAGAGCAGGCGCACAGATGTGTGCACACACCAGGAAAGTGAGCAGTTTGGAGTTATCAAAGGTGATTCTCTTTACATTCTCTGTTCAAGTAGAACGACCAGACTACAGTTAACTCAGTAATCCTGACTTTTCAAACATTCAACAGAAATATAGTAGCTAACCTATGATGGTTCAAGATGTTTTTGACATTTTAATGATGTGGTGATGTACCTATACAAATATCCCACTGAGTTAAGCTTGGTGTTAGATGACTTTGCCCATATTCAGGCATGTGCGCACACGCGCGCGCGCGCGCGTGTGTGTGTGTGTGTGTGTGTGTGTCTGTCTGTGTTAGAGTGTTCAGCGGGTATCTTTATTCAATTCTGTTTTCTTTTTACTTAAAATATCGTCAGCAACAATGGGTTAAAGCAGGACCTAACTTGACCAGTAAACACGTCTGTGTTCTGCCATTGGAGATAATACCCATTAGTTTTGAAAATAAACAGGTGTTATACACTCCCTCGCTTGTGAGCAAAAGTGCACCTCATTCACCAGAAGTCTGCACAGCGCATGCATGGCAGATGCACACCCCACCTATTCTAAAAACCAGATGTTGACCACGTTTACCTTGTACAGAATGAGGTACTGAGCAGCAAACATTCAGCTCATACAAGTGCCTCTTCTAATGCAGGACGCTCACCCAAACATCACAGGATTTTCAGTGGTTTCCTGAACCGAACCATGGTGGAAAGTCACTGTTGACTGTGATTTGCTAGTTATTGCAAAGTATCGGTTAATTCAAAGAAGAATGGGCAGTGTTTTAATGATTTAAAAAAAAATCCGAACCTCAATAGCTTGTTCAAAATGCCCCACAGTGGCCCTCTTAGTTACAGCACAATAGAACGCAGAATTAATCAGAGGCATCAAACTCTGCCTATTTACCTGTTTGGAGATAACTATTTGACTCGAGCAGCTGTCGCTATTTGATTTTAATATTTTGTTCTCAAGAGAATATGGGGAGGGGTACAAGAGAAAAAGCAACGATTTGGTTAATAGCAAAACCAGAATGAAATAGCATTCAGATAGTGCAGCCTCTTTGAGGAGGTACAGGCTGCATTAATCATGGGTTTCTGAGAGGCTGCGGGTGTTTCTGTGACGTGGCTGGGCACAAAGCAGAGCCCTGGAAGTTTTTGCTGTGTTAAAAAAGAAAGCAAAGCCTCCTCGGGTCGCTGCTTATTCTCTGTTGACCACTTTTCTCTGACTCCTCCTCCTTCCCGGGGGAAGGTGTGATTCAAATCCCCGGAGCCCCCTCAAGTATTGACAAGCCGCTGCTCAGTGTTGCTTGCTGGGAAATAAGGAAAGACATTTGACACCAAGCCTCATCTTGGCTCCTGAGAGAACTATCATCTCTGAGGTCACTCGACTTAAAGGGCATGTTTATTATTGTTTTGTCAAGTCTTAGTAGAAGACGACCCTTGATCATGCAAAACGGATCCGGGGGAAATCAGAAAATTTCTTGTCCACCTCTTTTCTGCATTCCGACTCCCCCAACTACCTCCGTCGCCTTGTAGAATTGGCAGGCGCTGGACCTTTTGCATGCTAGAGAAAATCTCTGTTTTGCCTCCAGCAAGGAACATGCATGTTGCAACACTGACTCCTCCTCTAGTGAAGAAAGAGTGAACAAGTGCACCGAGTTGAGCTTCTTCGCAGAGACACGCGGCTGGCGACTGCGGGAGCAGAGGCTAAAATCCCAAGACGCCGCCGGGTCTTCTGGGCTGGGCTTTCCCCGCCTTCCTGTTCAGTCTTACTCGCTCTTCTCCTGCCTTCTGGATTTTTACCCAGGGCTCAGGAAACTGCTTCACCTGCAGCAATAAAGCTCACGTCCATTGCAGGAAGTGCGCACCGCCTGGTATGGCAGACTTTTCTCCCCAGCAAAAGTGAGTACCTAGGTTAGACACGGCTGCGCGCGGCCAGGGGTGGCGCGGGCGGGCGCTCTCTAGGATCGCGGGTTCGAAGCTGCTGCGTGTGGGAGAGGAGCAGTTGGCTGCAGGCGCCGCCGATAACTTGGGGAAATGTCTGTCATGCAGCAGCCAGAGCCCGCGGTCTTGAGGAAAACCCATCCCGTGCTGTGACCATGCTTAAAGTCAAATCTTGATGTCCCTCTTTAGAAAAGCTAAGTATATGCTAAGGTACTTGACCACGCACCCTAGCCTTTACAACTGCGCTGGGCATATTTTAAAATATATTTTCAAGTGAGTCCTTGAGAACGGGTGCGGCGTGAGTATGGGTTATTGGGGTTGCAGGTGGTTTGTGTCAAAATGAAAAGCTAGGGAGAAAGCAGGGAGGTGGAAGGGGATCAGACACGGGACGGGACGCGATGGCAGCTACCTTGGGCTGTCTCCTTTGGGCAACACAAATGGGTGCCGGGTAGCAACACTGAGTTACCTGCGCCCCTGACTCCTTCCCCGCCCCCGCTCCCGCCCCCGCGCCAGCGTACACACCACCCCCAAAGGCTGTTAAGTAGTAGCAGGGACACGTCTCCCAATCTTAACCTGCTGGCCGGGAGCTAGGAATTCAAGCCCGGGAGGTAGAAGCAAGGACACACTGCTGAAGCAGAGTGCTGGCACCCTGGGAGGAAAGAAGGGGGCTGACTCCAGGAACCCAGATCCGGACTGCTGAGGTAGGGGAAAGCCAGGGCTGTAGTTGTGGCTTTTTGAGTAGAAAAATATCCTGTTAGTGACCTCTACCTGTGTGGTAGGGAAGCAACGCATGTTTCCCTAATAACCAAGGACTTGGGGTGTTCTGTGATTGAAACTGAAAAATGCTTGCAGCCTGCTATTAATCTCACGAGGGTGGGAGCATCCTTTAATCTTCATTCATGGAATTGGCTGGAAAAGATTTCCCACCTGAGTGTCTTGACCAATCCCCTCTCTGCCTCTGTTAGACTACAACCTTGGGTGTTTACCTTCTCCTGGCCTCAGTTTACTCTACAGAATTTAGGGAAGTTGCTCATGCTTTATGTAAGGAGCTGAACAGTGCAGGAAACAGGAAAATTTCAGACATTTTACCCCCGTGGCTTTTTTCAGAGTAAGGGTCCTTTTGAGAATTGATTGAGTCATTTCCCCAGGGTGGATACTCTTTTTAAGAAACAGGCGAAGAATTTTGCCCAAACACTCCTTGTTGGCCATGCCTGAAAACCCCTTGTCTTTAAGGATGCTGCATCAGGACCAATCCAGACAAGCTTTTGCTGGTGGCTGCGCTGGTTATGGGAATAAGTGGTTGTGTTGGCGGAGTCTGAGGCACTGCTGGGAGAGACAGTCCTTTTTGCTAGGGTGCTCAGACAGTGTGTGTTCTCAGTGGCTTCTTCAGTCTATGAGTTTCCAGGGGACCCCTTTTCTGGACTCTTAATGCCTTACCCTAGAGCAGTGCTTCTCACCCTTCCTGACCCTGCAACCTTTTAATACAGTTCCTGGTGTTGCGGCGATCGTCCAAGCATGAGAATTCTTTTCATTACTACTTTATAACTGTAATTTTGCTACTCTTATGAATTGTCATGTCAACCCCTGTGGAAGAGTCATTCGACCGCACATTGAGAACCACTGCCCTAGAGGTTTCTGTCCACAAATAGCCCTGGAAAGCGGCCTGCAGAGGGTCAGTGTCCGCAGGAACCAATGTCCTTCAGGCCAACTGGTTGACTTGTCAGAGAGCGGGGCCAAGGCTGTGCTTGGAGACAAAGCTTGCTCTACTCCCCCAAACACAGTGTGGCTAAGTGATAGTATTCCTTTGGGCATACGTACTTTGTCTTTAAAAGGTAGATGGTCTCGACATCTTGTAGAAATGGCCATGCCAGCAGCACAGAGGCTGTAGAGCAGAAAGCACGTGGCATTGGAGCCCGGGAGCTTCCGTGGGAGCCTGCACTTCATCACATTATAGTTACTCTTCAGCAAGGCACTGGAGTTCTCTGAGTCTCACTTTTCCTGATGCGAGATGGGGAATATTTCTGCTTTTCTTGTGTGGTTGTTGAGGAAATGGAAATACTATTTATATCATGCCTGACCTCTGCTCAGCCATCAGCTCTTCTCCAGTATTTTACTGTGACATCGCAAGTGCCCACTAGTCTGTGAGTCTTAGGGCAGCTGTCTCTCCTGTGAGGCTTGTGTTACCAGAAGAAAGGGAGAAACCAGCTCATTAGTCTCTAAGATGAGAGAGGAGTTCAAAATCCAGGGTCAAGTTTATTGTCTCAACTGTGCTATGTCAAGCAGAACTCTGTGTATTGGCAACAAATAAAATACTTGCAGATTGGCATGGATTCTCACACTTTCTCTCAGTTCCTTTCTGGCCTATAACTTTGCATACAAAATAGTTATCTGTGCCTACAGCTACAAGCAGTTGAATATGAAACCAGAAAAGTCCCCACATCTATCTTGAAATACACTAAAGTTGTCTCCATAGAGATAGATGTCTCCATTGCTATCTCTTTTTTTTCTTTTTGTTTTTTTGACACAGGGTTTCTCCGTAGCTTTGAAGCCTGTCCTGGAACTAGCTTTTGTAGACCTGGCTGGCCTGGCACTCACAGAGATCCACCTGCCTCTGCCTCCTGAGTGCTGGGATTAAAGGTGTGCGCTACCACCGCCTGACTCCATTGCTATCTTTTATTACTCGGTACAAGTTAAGATTTCAAATCAATTTAGAAGCTCCACCACGTGACCTCTCATGTTCAAGTAGAAAAAAAAAAAATAAACCTTAAGGAGAAGGAAATTACATACTCACAGAGTAGGAAAGGTCGATGATCAGCGTGTTCTTTGGAGTACTTGGGTGCAAAGATGGTGACATTGATACCATTCACTGAGCCTTTAGAGGGCAGGGTGGTGAATACTTCCGTACACCTCAACTAATTCTCAATGAAATTTTGAGGGTATGAATGATCATACGGGTAAGGAAAATGAGGGGTAGAAGTGTGTACCTAGTTTGTCCAGCCCACACAGCTGGGAGTAGAAGCCTAGGTCTGTCTGACTTGGTCATCCAATCTTTTTCCATTACCCAGTGCTGCCAGCCTTCCCGATATCAGAACACTGCACCATGTCAACTGGACTTGGATCGTTCTCAAGGGCAGGACTGACCACATGTGGCAGATGACTCTAAGTGAGGAGAACAGAACTTGTGGCACACATTAACTTGTAGCAACAACAAACCACTTGTGGAGAGTAGTCCTCCTGACTCTTACCACGCCCAGCTGGCGCATTTCAGAAAAGTGATAGTCGGTGTGTCGGCTGGACCAGATGGAGCTGGGGCTGGTTGGCTGTCACTCACATCCTAGGCAGTCCTTTCAAGTTCAAAGAACTCTGGGGTTTTCATTTCCTACCAGGTTTTATATCAAGGCCCTCTTTGCATTTGCTTCCTGTGTTCAGGATTCATCCATTCATTTATTCACCTGCGCTCCGCTGTGTGTTGAGTAGTTGCTTGCACAATGGAGAAAAAAAAAAAGCGAAAATCTAGCTAGCTTCTGTGGAGCTTCCATGTAAGGAAAAATGGTAGTTAGCAGGGAGATGACGTAACACATAGAAATCATTCAGAGTCTTGGAAGGCAGCCTCGAGGGTAAAAACACTTGTCATGAAAGCCTGGAGACCTGAGTTGTATCAATGGAACCCATGAAATGTAGAGGAAAGAGCCAACTCCCAAAAGTTGCTCTCTGACCTCCACATAAATACGGTGGCATACATACACATATGCATATGCGATCCTTAAACACAAATAATAAAAATAAATCTATTTTAAAGACCATTCCAGATACTGATAAATTTTATGAAGAAAATACAGAGATTATAAAGTCATGTCCGGTTCTAGAGCACTTGAAGTGAGAATAACCCATAGAGAAAACTGCTCAATTTGTAAAACACCCTAGATTTTAAACACCTGGTATCCCATAAACAAAAAGCAAATTTGCTTCTAGTTTTAGTTTGTATATCAAAATGGTAACGTTTTAGATGAACCAGTTTAGGTGAAAATGGATCAGTTTTACCTCGTAGCTTTTATTTGTTTTAATGTGCCTTAATAGCAAGTTTAGATGACATTACCTAATGGCTTACATTAAATTTGCATGGAATAGCACTACTTAAGACTGATAACTTGACAAAGATAAAATAGGAATTCCCTCCCTTCCCCCCCTTCCTCCTGGACATCTATTTATTTCTCTATGCTTGGCTAATACTCTTCTCAGTTCTACCACGAATTCAGTTATTTGATGAATTAGAGAGTTGAAAAGACCCTCTTCCCACCTCTCATGCTGACTTTATGCACATGACGCAGTTAAAGCCAATCCCACCCTGTTGGTATGGGACTTAATGAAATTAACTCTGTGGTTACATTTGTCACCAGGATACAGTCCCTCATGTAGGGAAATCTTAAGAAGCTTTTCCACAAGACCCAGTGACCAAAGGCACATTCTAAAAATGTTACCTTTACATTGCTTCCTAAGATAATACATTTGTATCTCTTAGCACTTCAGAAAGCCAAGGAGAAGAGAGCTAGGATTTCACATACGTGTGCAAAACTCCTTAAGTCACCTCCCATGGAGATAAGTGAGTTTTCCTTACCGTCCTCTTGATGAGAACAGCTTGAACAAGAAGCAACCCCAATCTCCAGAAGGACTGCTTCACGAGTGTCACAAAAGGCCACCTTTGGTGTCTTTCTTCACTGGCTAAAATTGCACTTAGGTATGTCATTGAAACAAAGATACAATATGTTCTTGCAGTCTTGTTTACTGAAAAGGGAAGAGCAGTCAGAATCTAGAAGGAGGGAGGCCTCTGACTTTGGAGATGATGCATGCAGAGACTCAGTTTGTCTCTTCTGCCCGATTGTCCATTAGGCTCACTTATTTCTTCCAGTAATACTGCACAAGTTTAGAGTTGATAAGATAATGGCACAGAAAATGCTGAG